AATGGACTAAACATTAGCTGAAGACGTGTGTTCTTGAACTAGGATTATCTGTAAAGATTACAGAACAACTATGTTTAGTCCATTGTTCATTATTACAGAACAACTTGAACTAGGATTATCTGTAAAGAACACACGTCTTCAGCTATGTTTACTCCATTGTTCATTATTACAGAACAACTTGAACTAGGATTATCTGTAAAGAACACACATCTTCAGCTATGTTTAGTCCACTGTTCATTATGAGACGTGTGTTCTTTACAGATAATCTTAGTTCAAGTTGTTCTGTAATAATGAACAATGAACTAAACATAGCTGAAAACGTGTGTTCTTTACAGATAATCTTAGGTCAAGTTGTTCTGTAATAATGAACAATGGACTAAACATAACTGAAGACGTGTGTTCTTTACAGACAATCCTAGTTCAAATTGTTCTGTAATAATGAATGACAGTTAGTTCAAGGGGCAAGGTGAGAATGGTATCATAGTCAACATCTACAGTGGGGGTGATCAGTAATAGTTCGGAACATTGATGTGGAGAAACGATATTTTGATAGTAAAGAAACTACTGGAACACTGGAAATCAAGGCTTGACGTGCAGATAGTCCTAATATAAAAATTATTAAGGCTGTATGGGCCTATATAAAAACTGAGAAATCCACAAGGTGACGAAGCATCTTGGGTGGAAGTCGTACGTTGATAAATTAAATGAAAAACAAGTCGTAGTTTTCTCTGTAAAGGTTGTAACTTTCATATAATATATTAGTGTATTCTAAACCTTACTGGCTTTTCTCATATATTTTGTGACGTTTTGTGCCACATGGTTTTAGTTACCCAATGGTTGACTTCTGCAGGTGTGACTTTTACATGTTTTCATAATTAGCTCCAATGCAATGTATTTTTCACACCCATACAACTACATTAACGTTAAGCATTTGTTCATAATATAACCAGAGCGTTGAGAACACAAGCAGAAGAGTTCTTGATTACGCATATCCAGAAACTAGCAACACGGTAAGATATTTCAGATATTTACTGCTTTTTAATAGTTTATAATATTTTCGAATTTCATTACAATCGAATCATTCCTCTCATTTAGTTTTATCGCAAAGCCACATTGGATTATCTACTGTGTCCATTGCAGGAATCCAATCCCGATTTTTGCTTTGTAAGTCCATAAAATTACCGCTGACTCACCGAGGGACGTATTTCTCTCAAATAAAATTAATTTATCTCCTTTTCATCTGACAAGTAGCTATGACTTATCAAGATTAAACACATTATCCAACATCTCTAGAGGTTAATTTTATTGAATACAAAATAATAGAATCTTTAAAACGTTCTGTAATTATGAATTAGTGCTACCAATGTGAAACCCGTGGTGGACAGAGCACAGATAGTCCATTATGTAGCAGGAACTTTACTAAATAATAATTGATATTTTATTTTAAATTGTAAATATTCATAATGTTTTGTACTCGGATTTTCAGATTCATCAATACTATTTTCATATTTATATTAAACCAATAAATAGTGATCTCATTCTATTTGTAATATCAATATAAAGTTATGTTTCTAAGTATATAACTTACATGACGATAATACATTTTTTAAATGTAATTTTGTAGAACCACACTAGGACTTACCCACATTCTGTTATTGTAACTTTTAGGTTTGTTAAATAAGTCCATTCAGGTTATAACAAATCTTACTATGATTCCACTTCTTTAAATAAGCTGTTTTCTTAGGGCACAGCTACTCACTGGTAACTGCGGCCAATCGAACCCCGGATTGTGGCGATGTAAATACGAAAATTTACTGATGATCCCCCGGAGAGCCGGGGGGATTTTTAACTAAGTCAAAAATCTCATTTCCACGTTCTCTGCAACCAATTTTCAACCTATGTTGCTCTGTTTGATGTTAATAATTTGTGGATATTATTAACCTTGTTACAGTAGAACGATGTTTTATAATACAAAGTTTATACTGTCAAGAACCCGGATGGACTAGACGGGGGGGGGGCGTAATTCGTGTCCAACTACCGCTTTTTCGGCTGTGGGTGTATTATAAGAGTTACCGTCAAATTCCACTATTCGGTCACAGTAGCCCAACAGTTGGCGGTGTCTAGTTCCTTTCTTCTCGTCTATCACGTCAAAATTAGGGACAATTAGCGCAGATAGCCCTCGTGTAGCTTTGCGCGAAATACAACAAAACAATCAGGACCCTGGTAAACATTATAAAAGGTAACTTAACGAAACTGTGATATTGATAAAGTAATTAAAAGAGTTAATTATTAAGTTAAGGCTGTCAGAAGTTCCCCTTTTGTTATTGTTACTTAAATAAAATTCCTGCCTTATCTTCTCAGATGTCTGAATATACTCTCCTCATGCAAAGCGAGACGGACAACGAGAACGTCCTGTACGACCGAGAACACGACAATAAAATCAAAGATGTTTCCACTGGATCACCGAAAACCTTTGGATCACCGTTTCAAAGAGTTAAGTTTCCTGGTATTGGAATCATTCTAGCTGCCGCTTGTCCAATCTTTTACGCTACACAGTATGTTCTATTCAAAATGATACCACACTTGTCTAAACAAACCATTTTAATCTATCGCGGGATATATATGGCTGCTATTACCTGTCCTTTGGTCATTTACAATGGACAGTCGTTTTTTTCGGACAGTTTAAATGATTTTCTGGTCTTAGTCTTTAGAGGAATTGTCAGCACGGGAGCAGCTGTACTAATGTACAACTCATTGAACTTTCTACCACTAGGCGACGCCACTTGCCTGTTTATGACAGAAACTATACTGACAACAATACTTGCATTCATAATTCTTCGGGAAAAAGTTAATTTCATGGATTTGTTAGCCATCATGTTAGCAATGACCGGAATCATTCTCGTAGGTCGGCCACCATTTATATTTGGTAGTGAAAACAACGTGAACACCAGTAACCAGGTTATAGGTTCCCTAATGGCTCTTGGAAGTTCCGTGTTTAACGCCCTGACTTACATCATTACAAGAAAAATTACATATATTCACTATAGTGTTGTCATCTTCCAATATTCTGTTATCCAGATGATAGTTTTATGTATCTACGTGTTTTCACAAGGAGAAAATATACTTCCCGATTGTGGAACAACTTCTTATTACGTGCTTGCCATCGGCATTACCAGTTTTTTATGTCAGTATTTTAGCACTAACGCCCTCTATGTCGAAGATGCCGGGAGTTTTTCGTTAATTCGCTCGTTCCAAATAGTTCTGTCTTACATCTATCAAGTCGCTATACTTGGCGAAGTGGTCAGTTTGCTGAGTGGGTTAGGGGCACTTTTCCTTTCGTCTGCTGTTGTAATAAAGGCCTGTTTAAAATGGTATACTGAAAAACCCTACTAGTGTAACCAGCATTTTACGAAAAGTAGGCTTAAGTGTATGAAACACTATATATGATATGGTATTGTGTTTGGTATATAGGATCTGTCAATGTAACCAAGAGTGTTTGATTTAAATAACACAAGCGTGTTGTTATTGTAATTTTTCTATTCTTTCATGCATATTTTATGGTTTCAGTCTATTTGTCAGTTGCTAACGTACTGTGGTATATTTCAAGACTTAATGTGGATTCTGCCTTTGACTGATTCTTTTATCCAATAAAATAATATTGAATTCTGCCTTTGACTAATCATTGTATTTAATAGTGTGGGATTTTGCCTGTCGACTGATCGTTTTATCTAATAAAATAATGCTGGATTCTGCCTATCAAATAATCATTAAAAACATATATAATGGTGTGAAATTCTGTCTGTCCATTTATCTAATAAAACAGTATGTGATTCTGTCTGTCCACTAATCATTTTGTATAATTAAACAATTTAGGATTCTACCTGTCAACCAATAGTTTTGTGTAATATAATAATGTGGGATTTACACTAACAGTATAAACACGGAAATATTAAAATAAATCAGAAGATTATTTTGAAATATAATTTTAACAATAAATACAATGTAAAACTAGGATTCTTCCTGTAAACTAATCATTATATCTAGTAAAACAATGTGAGATTCTGCCTACCACTAATCATTTTATATTGTTACGTCTCTGGTCGTTTCTTAATTTTCCGAAGAAACTTCTGTGATACAAGTCCTTTCTTAAATAAAACTAGTTTATTCTTTCTCAGTTCAACTTTGCAATACAGTTAATTTCCACAGTCACTTCAACTTAAACGTTTGCTATAATTCACAACGATTCACGCACTTTACTTACGGTGACCGCTTGACTCGATTATCCGTGTCTATATCTTCAATCTCTCTATTCTCCCCCGCTTTATTTGCCAGTTTTATATATATAGAGGGCGTCTCGAGCCTCCAGGAA